AGAGGAAGAGGAGAAGGGAGAGGAAGAGGAGGAGGAGGAAGAAGAAGAGGAGGAGCAGCCACTGTGTAGAATATGTAGTCAATGCCATCTAGTTAGTAGTGAGAACACAGGATGCCACTTCTCAAGACAGAGGAGGAGTGAGAGAATGCAGACTTACTCCTTACCATCAGCCCCTTGATGCCTATCGGCCCAGGTGATCCAACTGTGCCCCGGTCTCCCTAAGAAACAGAGAAGCAGAAGTCAACCATTCCATCCACAAAATAGGTGCCCCAGCCTTGCAGAAAAGTCATGTTGGGTGGCCCACCAGCCCTCCCTTCAGCGCTGCTTGCTTGAAGCCAATTTGGCCAACTGTAATTTCTCAAGCTCGCTTATTATGGGATGGTTACAAGGACAAGAACAGTGGAGGGGGGGATGGTGCCCAAAGTGTGTAAATAGTAGGACCGAAACCACTGAGAAACGTCGCTTGAGTTGCAAGCATAGGCAGCTCTCTGTAACTCTTGGAGCGATCAAATCTTTTCTGAGGATATCCGGGTGGCCCAATTCATCTGCCTCATGATCCCAGGAAAGGATTCAGCACAGGATATTGAAGTTCTGAACAAAAGCTGGCCATCAGAACTTGAAGGAATCGTTTTGGGACTTGGGGTAGCTCATAGCCCCCCCCCCCCCAAAAAAAACTTGATGGCTCTTAGTAGAAGGGTCTCCTCAGCTAAATGCTGGTTCTACAACCATCTCACTGTCCTTTGTACCTTCTCCCCAACGCTGCCGGGTTCCCCGATTGGACCGATGAACCCCATCAGACCCTGGAAAGAGAGAGAAAAGGGGCTGAATTCACTTACTTTAAGGTAAAGGTAAAGATTCCCCTTGCACATATTCTAGGGGGTGGTCCTCATTTCCAATACAAAGCCGGAGAGCCAATGCTGTCCGAAGACATCTCTGTGGTCACGTGGCCGGCAGGACTAAATGCCAAAGAAGGTGCACGGAACGCTGTTCCCTTCCCCCCAAAGGGGTCCCTACTTTTCTACTTGCATTTCTTTACATGCTTTCGAGCTGCTAGCTTGGCAGAAGCTGGGACAAGGAACGGGAGCTCGCTCCGTGATGCGGCGCTAGGGATTCGAACCGCCAAACTGCCGACCTTTCGGATGGACAAGCTCAGCGTCTTAGCCACTGAGCCACCACTTGAAAGCATCAGACAAAAAGGAAGAGTTCTCCTTGCTGGCTGAATCAGACCAGCATCCTCTGCAAAGTCCCAGTAGGCCTTCTTTTCTCACAGGCTGGGCCTCCCCAGCACAAACAGCAGCTGTTCTCTGTTTGAAAAACTGGCCTGTGGACCTTTGAAGCCCAAGGCTTAACAAAGGACTCCAGTGCAGGAACAAATTACAGACAACCCCCGTGATGTGAAGGTCAGAGAGAGCGCTAACATTTAGGATTTCCCTCCTCCTGTTGCCTCCCAACTTGCAAAACGCCGGGGCGGGAGAGAGAGAGAGAGAGACAGGCACAACAGGATGAGTTTCTGACATACACCCCGAAGCAGAAAATCATCTTCGATTGAGGGCTGTGAAGACCAGACTCTGGTATGATGATCAGGTCAAGAAGAAGATTGGGGCTGGAGATCCCGCAAGTCAGCCTAGCTGCTGCCAAGCATCTCCAACAGTAAAAACAAGGAGACAGCTTGGAGGCATAGAGGCAGTGATGCTCATGCCAGCAGGACTGTGGTAGATACAAGTCAGGATTTTCAATAGCTGCTACCCCGAATTTTTAAGAAAACAAATATATCTACCTACCTACCAGCCATCTTTTTATCCATCCATCCATCCATCTTTCTACCTATCTGCCTGCCAACCTGCTTACCTACCTACTCATCCATTCATTCATTCTGCCTATTTATTCATTATGCCCTTCCTTAGAATTGCCTGCCTACCTGCCTGCCTGCCTTCCTGCCTATCTATCTATCTATCTATCTATCTATCTATCTATCTATCTATCCATCCATCTATCTATCATTCATTTGTTCACTCATTCATTCTGCCTATTTATTCATTATGCCCCTCCTTAGAATTGCCTGCCTGTCTGCCTGCTTATCTATCTATCTATCTATCTATCTATCTATCTATCTATCTATCTATCTTCTTTCATTCATTCATTCATTCATTCATTCTGCCTATTTATTCTTTGTGCCCTTCCTTGGAATTGCCTGCCTGCCTGCCTATCCATCCAACTATCTATCTATCTATCTATCTATCTATCTATCTATCTATCTATCTATCATCTTTCATTCATTTGTTCATTTATTCATTCTGCCTATTTATTCTTTATGCCCTTCCTTAGAATTGCCTGCCTGTTTGCCTGCCTATCTATTTACCTATCTATTTACCTATCTCTATCATTCATTCATTCATTCATTCATCCATTCATTCATTCTGCTCTTCCTTAGAATTGCCTGCCTGCCTGCCTATCTATCTGCCTACTTACCTCTATCTATCCATCCATCCATCCATTCTATTTATTCATTAGGCCCTTCCTTAGAATAGCAGAAAATCTTGATTGATGGTGAACCTCTATACAATGAATATCACCCAGACCTCAATGGACCAAGGCCCTCTGATGTTGTCGTCCAGCAGTTTGCAAACTTTTTCAGACCCTGGAACCTGGTCGTTTAATAGCAAGAAAACTCTGGAATCTCCAGTGTTAGGGGGAAAGATCTTAGTGACAGCAAAACTTGCCATTTCTGAACTCCAACCCCACTGAATTTTCCATGGAACTCTGTTTGGTTCTCGTGGAGCACCTCTGCAGAACAGACCCCAAACTGGAACGCAACTTTCCCTAATGATTTGGAAATTGCCTCTGGGTGTGGATGTTTTCCAAGCCTCCAGGATGGCTAAAAGCAAGCCGGCTGTTGTGTTGGAGGGAAGAGAGGGACAGAAGAAGAGAAGAAGAGGAAGGAATTTTCCCCAATGGCTGGCACAGCGTTCTTTCGCTAATGACCTAATTGGCAATGAGATGGAAGCCTTCCACGGCTAGACAGAAATGAGAAGAGGAAAAATAAGGGAGTTTAAGACTCATCTGGACGGGGTCACTGGCAAATGGGGGTGAAAAGACCCATTGTATTTTCTTTCAATCTCATAGAGGCTCACGGTTTCCTGTTCAGATTATGTCTGGAGTAGCTAAGGGGGTGGGAATGGGGTGGGTGGGGGAGAGAAACAACCCACGAACAAACTGGGTTCCCTCACCAGTTCACATTCTCAACCTGGCTCCAACGGAGTGGAATTTAGCCCTGGGCTGTTTAGCTACGTTGAATCCAAATAGTGGAGTTCATCGAATGAATAAGTGCTAAAGAAAGACAGACCTTCCTGCTTTCTCTACAGAAATTTGGGAGGCTGGGAAGAGGGTGGAGGGAATTAAAAGACCTTCGGTGGAGGCTCAGTTTTTCAATTTTCCTAAGGAAACGTGTGGAGTTTTCCTGATTGTTTCCTTGCCTCTAGGAAAAGAAGGCTATTTCTGCGGGACCTTCTCCAGATGTTTGTGCAAGACGCGGAGAAAGACAATTACCATTTTCTTGTGGACATTATATTATGGGCAATACAAAATGGCAACCAGGATGTCAAAAGCCCCATGGCTTCTACTGTTACAGGGGAGCCCCGCATCCAAAAATGAGTCTTAGCCATTCCAAGACTCTTGACAGGCACATGTTGCCTCAGTCCTTAATCTGAAGGATTTCTCCTGCTCCAGAAGAAGAAGAAGAAGAAGAAAAGAAATATCCTCTCGATGTTTCTGTCCATGAGGAGGGGATTTTGAGGGTCCCTGTGCGTGCCTGGCTCTAGATTAGACCGTCATTGTAAAAAAAAAAAAAGCAGTCCGTAAAAGAGCTACGATTGCCAAGGAAAGAAGTTTTCAGGAAAGTTTGTGGGTCTCTTAGCCAACAATTAAGGAGACCAAGATTGGTTGAGCCAAAGCCACCATTGCTGTCCCATGTGGTCGTCCAGGAATGGGATAAACATATGGAAGCCCTGAGGTTCTACCACATCGGTCAGTTTGATGATTTGGGGTATGTTTCAAGGGGAGGTGAGCGTTGATTCTTTCTTATTCCCAAATTATCGAGAGTTCTTCCTGTTGAATCTCATCGGGCATTGTGCGGCACAATTAAGTTGCCCAAATTATGCCGAATGGGGACCAACGTGAAAACTGGATTGTGGAGCCCATCTGGCATCATTCAGGCACATGGTCTATGGAGATTCTCAGTCGTCCAGGTCATGGTTACCCCAAAGGTGCTTTTTCAAGAGGCAGCTGGACTTCCTTGACCACGAGAAGTTCAGTTCTGAGAAGAACTGAAGAAGCTTCTTGGATGAGAAGCTAAACGTCTTCAAGGAAAAAAACAAGGAAGTCTTGAAAAAGCATCTTTTGGACAACCATGACCTGGATGACTGAGAATCTCCATAGACAAAGGATAAGAAAACCAACCAACCAACCAACCAACCAACCAACCAACCAACCTTGGAGGAAATAATAGCTTTGAACAATCAGAGCTTGGGTGTTAAGCACAGCCAAAATTGCACCAAGGAGAAGAAACTAGGTGCAAATTATTGTTGGTCGTGGCATAACAATAAACAGCTGAAGGAAATGTCTTTTGAGGTTACCAATCCCCAGGTCAAGATTGTCCAAAGGTGACTCTTCAAGAGGCAATTGGACTTTCTTGGTTTTTCCTTGAAGACGTTGTTGCTTTTCCTCCAAGAAGCTTCTTCAGTTCTTCTCGGAACTGAACTTCTCAGAGCTGAAGAAGCTTCTTGGAGGAGAAGCAACAACGTCTTCAAGGAGAAACCCAGAAAGTCCAGTTGCCTCTTGACAAAAAAGCACCTTTGGGACATTCCGTCTTTTATTCAGATGCAGGACTATGAAATGCGATGACAATAATCCCAATGTTTTCAAACGTGGCCGTCCTCCCACCTCTGCTTCTACGTAGATTAAACATTGGTAATCCAGGTATATAAACATCTCTGAAATAGGAATGTCAGCTATTCTATCGAAGTGGGGAGGGCATCAAATCCAGAAAGAGACATGCCAGCAACAGTCAAAGTTATCTCAGCAAGTCCTTCAGCTGGCAGGTGTCACTAAGGACAAAGATCTGATATGGGATTACCTCGTCACCCATTTTTCCCAGGTGTCCTCGGTTTCCTGGTTCACCCTACAACCAAACAGAGAACAGTCAGTCACACAGAGTCCTTGTGTTTTTGCAATGCACACCTCAACCCTTTAATCTTCCCTCAAAAACCAACAAACCAACAACAACCCATTCTACAGGTAGAAAAACGGAGACTGTGAAAGCTTGATCTGTCCCAACTTCCAATTGGCCCCACTTCGTTTCAAGTCAAATTTGTCGTTCCCAAGATTTGATTTCTCATAAGACAGTAGAGGCGGAGAAAACCAGAAGACTCGTGATGTTTGGAATACAAAGCCCATCAGGAGCACGTTCCCTGGAATTTATGGGAGCTGCAGTTCAATGCATCTGGGGAACATCAAGAAGTCTATTTCAGTCATCTCTCCCCGCCTCTTTCATTTCTCTTCTTTTTCTTCCTTGGTTTCTCCAACATGGTATTCTTCAAACATTGGGTCTACACCTCCCAGCAGAACCAATTAAGGGGGGCCATTGAATGGATGATGGGAGATGTAATCCAACTGGAGAGGACTGGGTTGGGGAAGACTCTAAGTAAAGAAGTAGGACAGAGAGCAAACCATACGCAAATGATTTTAGCTCGTTTCAAGCTTGTTAATTAACGGATTAACCTCAGATCACGTCCTAGCAGAGAGTGGGTAAGCAGAACAAATAGGAATTTTAGCCGTTCAGTTATCTTCAGCTGCGGAAAACATCTTCCCACGGTGATGGGTGATAGGTTTTTTTTCTTTTCTTTTTTTCAAAGTTACATCTTCTCCATCATCCACTGAAAAAAAATGCTGAATTGTTCCACAAATGTTGAATTAAAAAAATGGCTCAATCGTTCTGCATCTGTTCAATTGAAAAATCGCCGAATCGTTCCGCAATTGCCGAATTGAAAAACTGTTCAATTGTTCCACGATATTGGAACAACGAAACAAAGGACTAGGGTTAACATGATAGCAATCTTCCAGTATTTGAGGGGCTGCCCCAAAGAAGAGGGAGTCAATTTACCAAATTTACCAAAGCACCAGAATGGATGGAAACTAACCAAGGAGAGAAGCAACCTAGAACTAAGGAGGAATTTCCTGAGAGAGAGAACAATTAACCAGTGGAACTACTTGCCTCCAGAAGTTGTGGATGCCCCATCACTGAAGGCTTTCAAGCAGAGACAGGACAGTCATTTTTTATGAAATGGTAAGGATCTCCTACTTGAGCTAGACTAGACTAGAAGACTTCCAAGGTCCCATCTAACACTGTTATTCTGCATTTTGACATATTCTGCATTCTTCCAATATCTAAGGGGCCACCACAAGAAAGAAAGGGTCAACTTATTCTCCAAAGCCCTTGAAGGCAGGACAAGAAGCAACGGATGGAAACTGATCAAGGAGAGAAGCAACCTAGAACTTATTTCCTGGTGGTGAGAACAATTAACTAGTGGAACGGAAGTTGCCTCTAGAAGTTGTGGGTACTCCAATACTGGAGGTTTTGAAGAAGAGACCGGACAGCCATTTGACTGGGTTGTTATAGGGTCTCTTGCTTTAGTACAGGGCTGGACTAGAAGACCTCCAATTTCCCTTCCAACTCTGTTGGTCTGTTCGTTGAAAAACCCTTTTCCTGATCTTGGATTAGGATGGATCGCAAACGACACTGAAGGCATTCTTTGAAAGACCTTAATATGCAGCATCAGATTCAGGCTGGATTCAGGCTGTGCCAAAGTATCTTTGTACCATAACGTCGGAAAATGGAGAAAAGGCTTTCAAGAGGAAAACCTAGCTTTGGCTGCCCAAGAAAATTCAAAAAGCAACATTTTGCACACAATTTTCTGCACAGGAGGAAGTGTGTGTGTGTGTGAGGGGGGGGAGTGTAGAGGTCTGGGTCAGAAACAGCTGCCTTCTCTCAGACGCTGCATTGCAAAAGCTACTCTGTGAACTTTTGAGATGTCTCAGCTTCCACTGTGCATTAAAAAGAAATTAAAAAGCTTTTGAAAGAATGGCCAGCTGGAGAGAGAGAGAGAGAGGAAACCTATTCGGTTTAGGGATACTGCAGGCCCAGGAAGCAGAAGAAGGAGAAGGAGAAGGAGGAGGAGGAGGAGGAGGAGGAGGAGGAGGAGGAGAGGGAGAGGAGGAGGAGGAGGAGGAGGAGGAGGAGGAGGAGGAGGAGGAAGAAGAAGAAGAAGAAGAAGAAGAAGAAGAAGAAGAAGAAGAAGAAGAAGAAGAAGAAGAAGAAGAAGAAGAAGAAGAAGAAGAAGAAGAAGAAGGGAGGAGGAGGAGGAGGAGGAGGAGGAAGAGGAGGAGGAGGAGGGAAGGAAGGAAGGAAGGAAGGAAGGAAGGAAGGAAGGAAGGAAGAGGAGGAGGAGGAGGAGGAGGAGGAGGAGGAGGAGGAGAACTGTGTATGAAATGAAAGTGACAATTTCGGATTCAATTCACACATACACACCAAAGAGCTCCGTTAAAATGTGGGCTTTTTTTTTTAAGCGTTGTGTGTTTGGAGGCGGGAGGTGGGAGGACTTCAGCCATTTTTAGCAACTTTTTCAATTGCATAATTTTTCTATTATTATCATTCTTTCTCTCCCTCTCTCCCTCTCTCTCTCTCTCCCCCTCCAGGAAGGCTGCCCTCGATCACACAATTAACCAATTTTTGAAAGAAAAGAACAAGCAAGGGGGGAAACGGGCTAATCATAAAAATTTGCTGTGGTTTGCAAAAATATGTGCAGGGTTCTCTCTGTCCCAGAAACCACGGTGAGTCGTAATTTCCAGACAAGAGAGAGAGAGGGAGGGAGGGAGGGAGAGAGGGAGAGAGAGAGAAGAAAAAAGGAGTTTTCAAGAAAGAAAGGGAATGCAACGGCCAGGAGAGGGTGAAATGCAATCTTTTAGATTTACAGCTTGGGAAACCCCAAAGGGTGAGATCTGTTGGCAACAGATTTGAATCTCCTACGGTGATGCCCTCCTTACCTTTAAACCTTCTGGGCCTGGTTTGCCGGGAAACCCCTTCTGCCCAGGGGGACCCTAAAAAGGAGACAAGTTGCAGGTAAGACACCAACGTGGAGAAAACTGTCATCGAGAGCAGGAAGCTCTTGGTCCCAAGTCCAGCTTGAAGGAGAGACTTTGAGAGGGGGCTGCGAGGGGAGAACTGCCCAAAAGTCAAGATGGAGAGCAATGCGGCCCAGTAATAGGCAACCCTCCCCTCTAGAAGAACCACCTGTGTTCTTACCTGTTCGCCTGGGGGGCCATAGGGACCTGGTGGTCCTTCATCACCCTGGAAGGAAGGGAGGAGAGGAGAGGAGAGGAGAGGA